TGTTTCTAAATATGTATACATTTCTGTTACATTATGATCAAACCCTTTTTGTATATAATTCCTAACTACTCTTGCTTTCCAGCTACCTATTACATCTTCTATCATTTGGGGGTCATAGGATGTTAACATTAAAGTCTTTCCTTCATCTACTGAATTTTCTTTTATTTCTAATTCTAAAGGTCTTCTTTTTCCTCTAAGATTATATTTTTCTTCTGGTTCTCTATATTCATTATATATTATTCTAGGTGGTTGTCCTGGTTCATATGTTCTAACATTCCCTGCTTGGCTAGTGTCAGTTTGCATGTTTGTTGGTTGATTACTTCCGCTGCTTTGTTCCATTAATTCTCTATATGATGTTATACTAACGGTTTCAATATCATTTTCTTCTTTTTTAACTCTAATATTTTCTATGTAGTCATAATATAGAATTTCATCTAAAGCTATTTGTCCGTTTAATTCTAATTTTCTTTCTAAATCAAAAAATTCTTTTTCTGTTAAAATCATATTTAATTCTGCTGGATAAATAATTTTATGTTCTAGTTCTACAAGTTCTTCTTCTATCAAATTTATTTCTACTAGATCTAACTCTGTATCTGATCTTTCTGCTTCTTCATTTTCTGTTCCTAAAGATGTTGATTCATAATTATAGAACATAATACTTGTTTTTCCCTTACTATTTTTATATATTATACTATCTTTTGGTATGATTGGGTTATTTTCTTCTATAAATTTACTAATTTCTCATTCTTCTCCTGCCAAATTTTCTGAACTTACTTCTATTGGTTTTATTAATTTTATTCCTTTACTTGCCATAGCCTCTACTATTGGCTTTATTTCTACCTTATATCTGGTTTTACTACTATTTGTTAATCTTCCTATAAATCCGATACTTATTGTTAAATTATCTCCTTAAAAATTTTCATATCCTTTAGTTTGTATGCCTATTTCTAAATTTTTAATATCTTCTAAGGTTACCATAAAATCTGGACTACAATAAAATATTCCTCCATTCTGATTCATATCTACTTCTATACTGGCTATTAATGCATCTTCTACTTTTTTATGTCTCTTGTCTAATACTACTAGTAATACTTTTTTCCCCAATCCTTTTCTTGTTAGTCCTTTAATTCCTATAACTATTAATCCTATATGCATATATGTATACTGTCTTCTGATTTGGTTTATGCTTTGTTGTGTTATCATTCTAAGATTTACGGGGTTACTTAATGCGCTCACTGGTTCTTCTCTGCTCTGTCTAAATAATCCTGTATTACTTCTAAGAAATCCTACTGAGTACAAGGTTCTTGGGTTTAATAAACTTATTTCATTATTCCTGTATATTTCCAAGTCTCTCTCTACGTCTATTGCTTCTTCTAAATGCATGCTCCTACTCCTTCTTAATTGTCTTCCTATATTTAATACACTAGTTCCTACTTGTGTGTTTTCGTTGACTGTTCTACTAGGTCCTGAAAATGATGTTCTACTAGCCATCTTTTTAAAATTTTTGTGGTTTAGGATTTACTGAAAATATATTACTAAGATGTGGTTTACTTTCTTTCTTTGTTACAGGTAATCTTTTAAATTGGTCCGTAATCTCTTCCAAGTCCTTTTCAAATTTATCTATCTGCAAAACTCTAACTTTTTCTGTTACTGCATCTATTTTCTTATGTAATGATACTAACAAGGCTATTATTACGTTATTTTGTTTAGGATATGTTTTATCTGATATACTAGTTCCTAAGTAATCTGTTAACCCTAATGTTTCCTGGTGATAATATTTTAATTCTTCTAATATTTTTATATATTCAGGATAAAAAGCATACTGAGAAGGAGGTGGTTTATTAGTACTGCTCATATATTAACTCAAAATTATTTTTTCTATTTTTTGTAATAGTATTTCTACCTGATTATAAGATTGTTTTAATTCTTTTGATTTTTGACTAATTTCTTCTAATATTTCGTTATTAATTTTATATTCTTTGAGTTGTTCTAGACTTCTTATTTTTGCAATTATCTTATTATTTTGATCTTTTATATAGTCTTGATTTTCTACTAAAGTTTTTATTATTTTATTTTTATTTTTTAATGATTCTACTAAGTTTTCTATTATCCTAGAATTATTTTCTTTATGTTTTTCTAAAGATTCTGCTAATGATATTATTAGGTCAACTAAGCTATTATAATTTTTGTCTTCTATACTATGTAAACTATGCTTATATATGTTACTAAAATAACAGTTATGCTTATGATTTTCTAGAGTTATTATATTTCTAGATTTATTTTTTATTTCTAAATCTAAATATTCTAATCTTTTATCTATTTTTAATTTTTCTTAAGGAATCAGGCTCACCGGGACGGCAAGCTCTGATACCAAAACTTACCTAGGTACCAAAGTCCTAGAATGGCTGGACTATTAGGCTCCAGTTAAAGACCTATATTAAGTCTGAAAAAGCTTAATCAGAAATTCCACAGATTTTGTTACAGGAATTCCTTCTGTTTTTATATTCTTCTTTTTCTTCTAATTTTTGTTTTTCTATAGATTTTAATTCAGAGTATCTGTGCCAAAGTAAATCTACTTTTGCTTGTCTAATATTTCTGAGAAAGGAAGCGGGATGGTGGTGTGCTACTTTTACTAATCTAGATTCTTCTATTTGTATATTTGCTAAACATTGATATGAAGTTTCTAGATCTTCTAAAATTTTATCAAAATAATAATATGTATCTGGTTGTTTAAGAGTTGCTAATGCTATTCTATATGAATTTTCTTGAGAGGTTGTAAACTGAAAAGGTGGTTCAAAATTCCTATAACATTTAGGTACCAAAGTAGATTTTACCTATGGAATGCTGGACTATTAGGCTCCAGTTAAGATTTCTAGATTTAGATTTAGAAATAATCTGAAATTAAGTTGATAATTTCTACATATAAAACCTGTATGAATTTTGAACCACCTTTTCAGTTTACAACCTCTCAAGAAAATTCATATAGAATAGCATTAGCAACTCTTAAACAACCAGATACATATTATTATTTTGATAAAATTTTAGAAGATCTAGAAACTTCAGATCAGTGTTTAGCAAATATACAAATAGAAGAATCTAGATTAGTAAAAGTAGCACACCACCATCCCGCTTCCTTTCTCAGAAATATTAGACAAGCAAAAGTAGATTTACTTTGGCACAGATACTCTGAATTAAAATCTATAGAAAAACAAAAATTAGAAGAAAAAGAAGAATATAAAAACAGAAGGAATTCCTGTAACAAAATCTGTGGAATTTCTGATTAAGCTTTTTCAGACTTAATATAGGTCTTTAACTGGAGCCTAATAGTCCAGCCATTCTAGGACTTTGGTACCTAGGTAAGTTTTGGTATTTGTTTTTCATATTATGCAGTAGTTCGGGGTAAAACACCTGGAATTTATTCCAAATGGATTTCAGTAGTAGAACAAATTAAAGATTTTCAAAATCCTTTGTGGAAAGCTTTTCATATATTATACAAATTGAAAATTATATATTATATATTATATGAATATTTATATAATGAAATATACAATAAATATTACAAATTGAAATATTATATAAACACCATATTTATAATATTATAATATTTATAATTAATATTAATGTATATTATTTATATATTTATTTATACATATTATAAATATTTTTATATATTTATATTTATATGAATATTATATATTATATAAATTATATATAATATAACATATATTATATATTATATATATTATACATTTACATAAATGTACATTTATACATAATATATATATTAATTTATATTTATAATATACATTTATATTATGTATTATATATAATATAATACATTTATAATATATTTATACATTTATATTAATATACATAATATTAATTTTATATTTATACATAATATTAATACATTTGTACATTTATATTAATTATGTTAATACATTTATACTTAATATTAATATATATTAATAAAATTATAATTTATACATTTATATAATATTCATTTGTAATTTATACATTTATACATAATATTAATACATTTGTACATTTATATTAATTATGTTAATACATTTATACTTAATATTAATATATATTAATAAAATTATAATTTATACATTTATATAATATTCATTTGTAATTTATACATTTATAATAATATAGACTTATACGTTTATAAATATATTTATATTATGTATTATATATAATATAATACATTTATATATTTTTATATAAATACAAAAATATATTTATTTATAAATATTTATAAGTGTATTATAAATGCATAAATGTATATTTATATAAAAATATATAAATTATAATTTATAATTTATAATTTATACATTTATATAATATTCATTTATAATTTATACATTTACAATAATATACACTTATACATTTATAAATATATTTATATTATGTATTATATTTAATATAATAAATTTATAATACAATTATATATTTTATATAAATATGTAAATATATTTATTTATAAATATTTATAAATGTATTATAAATGCATAAATGTATATTTATATAAAAATATAAAAATTATAAATTGTAATTTATACATTTATATAATATTCATTTATAATTTATACATTTATAATAATATACACTTATATATTTATAAATATATTTATATTATGTATTATATATAATATAATACATTTATAATACATTTATATATTTTTTAGTGAATATATAAATATATTTATTTATAAATTATTATAAATGTATTATAAATGCATAAATGTATATAAAAATAAAAATTATAAATTATAAAAATATCCAAAAATATGTTTTAAAAATACCTCTAAAAATAATCCAAAAAAATTTCCAGTAAAAATTTTTCATATATATTTGTTCAAACGGAGCCACTGTTTCAATGTTGACCATAGTTATCTGTTATCGTTTGGAAGAAAAAAAAAAATATTGACCATAGTTCAGCTTCTTCTTCACTTCCCTATTCTGAATCTCCTCTTCCTTACCAATTAACTCACAAATTTTGCCTTTCACAAAAAAGAAAAAAACACGCACACGCACACGCACACGCACATACAAAATAACTTGGGACCTTACCGATTAGGTTAAAAGAATTGGCTTAGTTGAATTTCTTCTCCAAGAATCTCTGGTCCAATGGTACCTATTGCTCCCTTCATCCCGCTGTCTCCCTCCATCTGAGAACTTTCGTTCGCCATCGGTAAACACCCACCACTTAGACCACAAGAATATAGTTTTTGTCCTATCTTCCCATATGTTTTATTGCTACTTGAGGGTGTTCAAGTCGAGGTTTGTCTTTCAATTTCTTCAAATTTTTGCTCTACTCTTTTTTTTGGTTCCCATTACTTTCTTAAAATTTCTAAATGTTTTGAAGAATTGAATGGAAAATTCCATTAATGTCCATATTGATTTTGTGTTTGGTAAAATCATATCAAAATTTGATTATCAGTAATTGCAAGTTTGATTTGTGGTAATAAACAAGTTATGCACATTGTGCAGTTTTTCAGTTAATCTGTCGCCGCCATCGCCATTGTTATGGCTAAATTTCTTCACCAGAAAAGCACAGTGAACTTTTGGTGGTTTTGAAAGATGAACTTTTCACTCTATTTCTGTTAACTTATTGGTTTTGAGTTTATCAATTTGGTGGTCATAATTGAAGGTCGCATTGACAAGGTTTGTTTGTTTTACTGATGTCTTTCATTTGTTCATTAGGAGCTGTATGTTTTGGTAGGTCATTCAAACTTATCTGACGTGCACACCACGTATTCGCTTTATGTCCTCATTTAACATCTACAATCATTGTGTGTTTGTTTTTCTTTGTTTCAGAAAATTGCTTGTTTTGGATTGGTCTAGTGTAATTTCATCAGTGCATGCTTCGATTATGGTCCAGTATTTGCTTGTTCTTTTGTTTTTCATAATTTGTTATGATATTATGGGTCATCTTCCTATGTTAAGCAACTTAAAGCTAAGAAAGGATGCTAACATTTTTTTCCCCTTGAGCATTGATGTTTAGGGAATAGAAAAATACAGCAGCTCCCACATTTAGTAAAATAATTTGAGCAATTTAAAGCTTTGCTTAAGCATTGATGTTTACGGGATAGAAAAGTACAACATCTTCCATGTTTAGTGTCGTTTCAATTAGCATTTGGATTATGGATTCTACAATGATCATCGCCAATGCAAGCAGGCAGTAAGATAGTGCCGTCAAAGAGATAGATTTAAGGTGGAAAGTTTATATAAGGTTGCCTGGATAACTAAATGAGTTTAATTAGGGTATCGAGAGACAAACTATTCTAAACTAATTACATTAAGGCATTTGTATTCCAAAGGCATTATAACTAACTTGTCTACCCAAAACCAAGTAACAAGAAAAATATAGGTGGTTTTCTAGACATAGTGAAAGGTTATTGCAGTTGGTCTAGGTGTTATTCCTAACTTCAATAAATGAATGGTGGTCTACCAATATCAATTTGTTGGCCCTGAATTTATGCAATGTAAAGCTAAGAAAGGATGCTGCGCTTTTTTTTTTTAAGACAATTACCTATGATTTTTTTTTTCGAGCCTGAGCAACCTTAGACTCTAGAAATATGCCATGGCAGTGAAATTAGTTCCAAGGATTCTTTGATGTTAAATTCAGACCACTTCAGGAAAGCGTTCAACATGTTGTTGGGTTAATGTATAATTTCTCGTTCTCTTTTTTTCCAGGAAAGGAAGTCAAATTTTGTCCCAAGTCACTCATGAAATTTCACGCAAGTAGCTAATTCTTGAATTTAGAATAATTGGATTTCCCCACTTGTGCATGATTTCTTTTTCCCTTGCATATTTTTTCTCTTCAAACCAAATTAACAAAAAAAGAAAGAGAAAAAAATAATCGTGGATTTAACGGATTGGATTAATGTCTTTTGATTCCTTTGCATGCATATTAGCAATTTTGGAATTATTACATTTGTTAGTAACATCTAACTGGCTGTTTACCTTGGTTTATCCATATTTCTTCGATTTTGCCAATTTCAATTTGTGTCCTGTTATTGTAAATTTATTTACTTACTTTAGTGCATTATTGTAAGCATGTCTTATTTGGTGTATAGATTTTCATCATTAAAAATTTATCTTGGCAAATTATTTAAATCTAACAGAGTATCTCAACAAATGCCTCTGTCTCCTTTGTTGAAGTCTAGGTAGTCTAAAAAGCTTAATGGGTGTTATGAGTAACGTGTGTGGATTAGAATGAATTAGCAAAGATCACTTTCTAATTTCTCCATTAATTGAAGCTATTTTACATATATTGATTTTATTCAAATTGCAATGGATGTGTTTTAAAATGTCAAATTTTGGCATCACACTTTTAGATATAAAAATTACATATGCACATTTTATACTTTTATTCTTAATTAATTGGAAGGAGAAAAGTACTAATTAAGAGAGCAAATGTGATGCACCCATGTATTCTGTCCATGAAATAAAAATATTTTTTCGTAGGTGTGTACTTGAAGAACCTAGAGAGTATTTTTTTTAATTTGTTTTTAACAACTGATGTAGAGATGTGGATATTTGATTTTTAGATGTATAGATTTTGATTCGCAATGACAGATTATATTCTCGATTAGCATACTATGTTTGCTAGAGATATATGCAACGTGGCATAATTGACAGTGAAAATTTTGTGTTCTGTGTTCTTTTTTCTTTGAGTTTAATTATCTTGTATTCTTATCTAATTGAAACTTTTTCCTTCTTCAGGAATTGTAGTTTGACATTAGGAAATCTACTTTATGTAATAAATATGACATGATAAGGATGCTATTAGATGCAATGGAGGGGAAGCTATTGTTAATATTGTCCTAAAGACGTACAAATGAGAGTCTAACTTGAATTGCAATGTTAACATTTCACAGGATTTTTCTTGTACTTATTTGGAATTTTCAAATACTTAGACTAATAGCAAATTAGTATTAAAAGGTGGTGGTGAATACGTTAATTCTGTTTTGTTCTTCTTTCTGGATTTGTTTATTATTGCATTTGGAACGCATAACATTGTGCATGTGTGGATGTTTAGCTTTTTCTGTTTGTTGTTCTTTTGTTAGAACTGATAGAGATTCTGCAATGAAGTGTATTATTGTACTAGATTTTATGCTGCAACTATTTTACGCAGCTTATTGACAGATTAAGAAATTCCTGCTATTTTTCTTGCATTAGTTGTCTTAGGTGTCATTTTAATGTTGGTTGGTTGGTCAATATGGCCTTGAAAGACCTTCTTTGGCCAATTGAAAAGAATGACGTAGTAAAGAGTATGCGTGGAAAGATTGGAACTACCGAACCAATGACTTGAACATTTTGTATCTCAAGTGCCCAAGTTAGAGTTTCTTGTTTTAAAATTGTGGATTTGCATGGTTTTGGTTTGACATGCTGTTTAACGGTTGTCAGTTGATTGAATCACAATTAAGATGATATTTTTTTCCCTTTTTTGAGATAGTTGAGCACAAAATTTGTATTCAAAATTTGTGCAAGTTAATGGCTGTATCTTGAATAATCTAATAATCTTTTTTGCAATTTGAACTAAGGTCAACACTTTTTTTGTGATGGATTGCAATTTGAGGCAGCAGAGAACAGGTGAAACTTGATCACTACTAGAATTTGATTAGCACTGGAACCTTGAACTTTGAACTACTGATTCTTGAAGTAACCGATCATGTGCTTACTAATTAGTGATTTTGATTTCAAATAGCTCGATGTATTATGGATAAAGAGAGTTTATAACCAATATGTTGCTAGTATTACATGTTTTTATTTGATTTTATTAAAAATAGGACCTGGGCATGCTCGCGCGAAGCGCGTGGCCCAAAGAACTAGTATAAGAGAAAGCACATCCACCAAGCTGCTACTGCTCCAATTCTCTCTTTTTTAGTTTTTTATTCCCTCCTCTCACTCTTGGTTAGCCAAGAAAATACCTAAATTGTTTAAGCCCTATATAATTGCAGGTGAAATTACTGCATCAATTGCATCGGAGAGTCATCGGTGGGTAGTCCTCGCCTTTATTTGCAGGTTTTCTGGCAGCCTTCACCTGGGGGTTTTTGCGGGATTGGAGATTTTAGTTTAAAATCTTCTTTCAATTCTTTGCTAGGATGAAACTCTCTTTCTCCCTCTCCTCGAAGCCCCAAAATTCAACCCTCAAGATACCCTCTACCGCCGACACCAATGCCAAAGAGTCAGTCGAATTCGTTACCGAATTCGACTCCTCCAAGGCCCCAACCGCCAAAAACCAGGAAAATCGGGTAATTCCTCCTAAGCCCAATGAATGGAGGCCGACTAAGAAGATGAAGAACCTCGAGCTTCCACTCCAATCTGATGCTCAAGATCAACCAATGCTCCAATTTGAAGTTGTTGAATCTAGCTCATCTGACCATACTTCTGAGAGTATGTCCTACGGCCTTAATCTGCGTAATTCGGGTAATGGGGCTGGAGCGAACCCACAGGAATTTCCTGGTTCGGCATCTAACGGGGACCCTGTGTTGCATAAATTGAGGGAGGATTTGAAGAGGTTACCGGAGGATGCTGGGTTTGAGGAGTTTGAGGATATGCCCGTTGAGGGATTTGGTCGGGCGTTGTTAGGTGGGTATGGTTGGGTTGAAGGCAAGGGTATCGGAAAGAATGCGAAAAAGGATGTGGATATAGTGGTGTTAAAGAAACGAACTGGTAAGGAAGGGTTAGGGTTTACTGGTGGATTACTGGAATTACCAGCTGAAGCCAATCGTGAAAATGGTTGTGGGACTAATAATAGTATGAGGAAAGGAAGTGACAGAGATGGTCAGGAGAAGGGAAGGGAAAAAAAGGACTTTTATGTGGGGAAAGAAGTGAGGATTGTGGGTGGAAGGGAAGTTGGGATGAAAGGTAGGATACTTGAGATGAAACACAGTGGGGAAGTTGCAATTTTGAGGCTTTTAAAGAGTGAGGAGGATGTAAGTGTTTATGTTAGTGATTTAGCTGATTTGGGATCAGTTGAGGAGGAGAGGTGTTTGAGGAAGCTGAAGGAGTTGAGGATTAGAGAGAAAAGCGATGTTAGTGATAAGAAAATTGGTAAAGGTAGGGATAAAGATTTGGCGAGCAGTTGGACGGATAGTAGAGATAGAGAAATGAAAGATAGGAAGAAGGATAGTAAAAGGGGAAGGGAGGAGATTAAGGGTAGCGATAAGTTATCCTGGTTGACTAACCATATCAGAGTGAGGATTATAAGCAAGAATTTAAAAGGTGGACGATTGTACCTGAAAAAAGGGGAGGTTGTGGATGTGGTTGGGCCAACAACTTGTGACATATCTATGGATGAGAACAGGGAGTTGATACAAGAGGTGGATCAGGAGCTACTGGAGACAGCACTTCCAAGGCGTGGAGGACCGGTTTTAGTTTTGTATGGTAAACATAAGGGTGTCTATGGAAGTCTAGTGGAAAGGGATACAGAGAAGGAAACAGGTGTGGTTAGGGATGCTGATTCACATGAATTGCTTAATGTTCGCCTTGAGCAAATTGCAGAGTATATTGGGGATCCAAGCTACATAGGTTATTAGTTGATTCCTAGTAATGAGATGCAGCATTTCTCGATTGATACTGTGTTTCAAAGTTCATACTGTGTTTCAAAGTTCAAGGTACTTTTTGCCAATATTCTTTTGCTGTTTCCTTTGTTTTTAAGTGTGAGTGAGAATTTGTATGTAATTTCAACTAGAGTAATTTTTAATGCGAATCTGATCTTTATTATTTTAAACTAATTACAGGTTAGCAGAGAGTGTGTTCTTTTAGGATTGCAAGCTTCAAATATTTATTCCAAGTGAAGATTAAGAATTGTATTTGCATAAAAATGTTTTGAGTAAGGTTTGGGACTCAGTTTTTTTTTGTCTGGAAACTGAAATCTGTGTCTCTCTCGTAGAGATAGGTATAGCAGTTCTAGGTAGCTGTTTGCTTCACCATGTGGAGTTCTACTTAGCTAACTTCATCATTTACCATTTGTTATAGTTATTGATCTTCTTTGGTGCTGCTTTAGATCTCAGTTGGGGTTTATCAATTTGCATTTGAATGAGGGTAACAGCAAGGTGCAGGGTATTGTTGGGAAAGATCTCTTCATTTATTTATTGATTTCAATAGCTTAAATTTTGAGTTAATGTTTTGTGGATGGCTGCTTTTTCACTGGTGGACTTTCATATGGGAACAACAAACCAGCTTGTTAGTTGTTGTTGTATGCATTATGCTGTTTACTTTTTTTTTCATTGGAACTGGTGCATTTTTGCTTTAGACATTTTCTTTGGCCATGAATTTAGTTTGGGATAATAGTTACACTGATCTGTAGCCTACATGGTACTATGGATATAATGCTTTGTGACTTCATTTTAAAGAAATAAATGCTTGCTTGTTGGTTCATATTTAGGTAATGTTGGGGTTCTGTACAATCATCAAAAAGGTGTTCACTAAATTTCTTGGGATCAAGACTTTCTTATGAGGGTCGTTATGAATGTAATTACAAGTTAAGGTGCCAAAGGAGGAATATTTATGTAAGGCTAGTAATGTTTTTTTTTGGTTGTGATACTACATCTGAAGCCAACTGATTTGCTAAAGGGAAAAGGACAGTAATTCTTGTTGTATTTGGTTTGACTTTTGTGAACTAGACTATGATGGTTATCTATGGCATAGGCAAATTGTTTCTTCCACCTTATGTTATGTCGAAATGTTTCCATCAATTTGTCCGTAAAGAGCAAGATCCTTGCCCTGTTTGTATCTGAATTTTTGCTTGTAATCCTTAAGGAGTGTGCTTTATATGCTAGGTAATAACTTAAAATTTCGGAAGATATGATAATGAGTCAGCTGTCTTCTTCTAGTTGAAGCTAGCATAGCAGTTTTCTAATAACTATTGCCTTTTACTGATTATATAACAGTCATGTGGTTCGATGGGACTGAAAAATTTTTAGAGATTTGTAAGTTTTGTAGTTTCTTGGTGCTAATTCTTGTTGCTCTTTAGCACTCCAAATTCTGGAATATGGATTTGAACCCAAAATTTCTTTTTGGGGGTGGGGGGGGGGAGATGGGATTGGCAGGTGCATGGGTGTGGGCATGGAGAATAGTGACAAATATGTATTAGACGAAGAGACAAAAAAAATTCAAGTGGAGATAGTAATCTTAGCTTTCAAATGTTTAAAGATACAGTGCGGCAACGAAAGCAGCATGGCTAGAAAATATCCTCAATGAGCTGCTTAAGTTTCTATTGTTCATTATGCTAGTCCTTGCTATAATGCTAGGGTCAGGGGAGGGTTAACAGAATTTGTGACGCAGGATCTTTAGGTTTCAGCAATGAAATTAGGTGTGGATTATACGCGAGCACACTGGATCTTTTAGGTGTCTATTATGTGCAGAAAATAGACTTAAGTGTTGGTACAAAAATTAGATAGGAAGATGAGGAAGGAGATGAAAAAGCAGAGAACTCATGCATTATGTCAGAGAGCGAGAGAGATAGAAAGGGAAGCATTTTTTGAAAATTGCTTCATTTCATTGCAATCTGCCATAAAGCTATTACAACCTATATTCATGTATGGAACATGACTTGGGGGGAGGAGATCTTAGAAAGGACCAGAACTCAACAACTAAGAAAGCTAAAAGCTCAAAAACTAAAGGAAGCCAATTTGGACTTGATTACTACTGCAGGTGGCCTCCATTTCCAAAGACTTGCCTCCATTTCCAAAGACTTGCAGAGCTTCTAGCAAGAAGACTGGATTTCTGAATTTTGAATCTGTCAAAAAAGACTTCTGCTATGCACCCTATGGCTTATTTTAGCATGAGCTGAAGTATAAAAAACTCATGAAAATTGGAACGTAAACTGCTTTGACTTATACATCAAACTTCACATCTAAATGGAAATACATCATGGAAAGCGGCTAGAGAACTTGAAAATCTGTTATTTTCTGAAATTATGAGAATCTTTGTTCATATCTCTTCATTCTGCATCAGTTTGGTACTTAAAAGCTGCTTTCACCAATTAACCTGTTCTACTTGAAAGAGATGCTGTTGTTGGACCAGCCATTTTAGTGTGAATAGGGATTGTGTAGATTTTACCTTGTCAGGAGTTGTCCCTGCTGACATTCAATTGTTCAACACTTATTCATATGGTCCCTTTTAACTGAACATGCTACAGTTTTTGTTCCTGAAATAGAAAGGTAACGTCTGAGCATAAGAGGTGACGATAGCACTTTGGCGAATAATTGATTATTTGATTATCTTTGGGCATTTAGTCGGGTTTATTGATCCATCTAAATTGTTTATCATTTGATTTAAATTTCTCTTACGTTCTTGCTTCTGAAATGTGTGCGACCTTAAACTAGACTGACAAAACTTTTAGTTTAAAATGACTTAAGGATCAGTTGTTGCATACCTTCTAAAATTAGCTTGGTATATTAGAAGGCTGAGATTTATCTCTTTTGACAGAATATTGACCAGCCAAAACAGAATTGCCTTTTTGAGTTTTGATAATTTGGTCTGCATCATGTTGACCAGGTTTCAGCTGCCTTTTGCTTATTGTTTTGGGCTTATTTTAAGGATATGATGAGAAACCAATAGCATTTGATTTTAGTGTTTTCAATGGAATTTTACCTCATGTTACAATTAAAGAATAATGATAAAAGAAAAAGGAAAAAAAAGAAAAATCTTCTGGCATCAGTCGTCAAACTTCTCAATGCTTCCTAAACCTGAAAATGGGGCTCTCTGATATATTGAACAGGTTATTGTGCAACCAACCCAAAACCCCCCCCCCCCCCCCTCTCTATCTCTCTCTCTCGGGTAGATACAGATCATGTTATCTGGAATCTTCACTTTCCTTGTCATACCCATGTCCATTCCTTCATTTTGCACTAGTCTGTTGGCGGGAGCCCTTAGGTGAGTCCATGTAACATAGGAAACAGCAAATGTTTAGCTTCTATTGTTATTTCCAGCAATAAGTAATTAAACTGTACTGCCTTTTTCTTGGTAGTCCATTATTTTTTTGAGATCTTAGTTCTTTCTGCATTTTAGCTTCTCTCTCTTCTTTGAGAAAGAGGAACTCCAGCGTACAGCTGATGCTACAAATGGTTATGTCATCATTGGACCTCTTTAAAATATGTATTACATGGTAACATGCTTCACCTTTTAAACAAATCCAGATTTATTTTTGATCCAAATTGATGGTCTTGTGGAGTTTCAGATCAGTAACTTTTTTAACTTGTACATTCTAATTATCATGCCTAATCATTATGGAATGAGTGAGTCAGGGCAGAAGGAAGTTGTTCTAGTATTCTGTTTTACGTAGTCTGCAGATGTCTTTTGTTTAGATTTTCGAAGTATCTTTAAAGTATTTCAAAGCCTTGAATTAATATTAAAGGTTTTCTACCCATGAATGGTTAAGGTGCACAAGTCAATCAACAGTATTTCCTTCCGAGCCACTAGCAGCGGACTGTAGGATTGTAGCAGGAAATCTGATGCATGTTTTTGTTTCTTCTGCTGTTAAAAATGATTGAAGGTGAAATTGCACTTGAAGAAGTTTATTTCAGACCTCCTTTCATGAGTGGGGCTATCCACTTCTCTCATGGGTCCTAAATTCACTTATGGTTAGTTTTGGCATGTTAAAAAGTTTTTTCTCCTTGCGTCATTTTGTTTTGGGTGGTTATATACCTGAATTTGCTTCGGCGAGGTACTTGTAGATTGTAGTTGTAGTGCCTTTTTTTCTGTTGAAAAGGTAGATAACTTTGGTGACCGATGTTGTCAAGATGTGTAATACTAGTGTATCTGGCCAAAAATGCTAGAACACGTTGAATTTCTAAGGTGGTTTATTATTGTGATCCTTTTGCAATTAAGAATACATACTGGTCTAACATTCTCTGCAATTTGTGTTAACAATTGTTAGGCCAGTGGCAGGGGAAAAGACTGTTGAGCTTGAGATTTAAAGTGGACAGAATGGTAGCTCAAGCATTATAAAACAATCAAAATGCACCAAATCAAGCCAGTTTGGAGTTCAAACTCAGCAAGCTGAAAGAGAAAATTGGTTCCAGTGATTCAGGGATATTCCCCCACACTGTCTCCATTGTACAGCTACCACCAAATCAGTCGAACATGTGAGTTAGTCCTTTACTAAGGCTTAATTAGTAGACCATCTATTGGTGAAAGGCATTGGGTAAGATTCTTGTACGTTATAACATTGCCAAAGCTAAATCAGCCATTTAAGATGAAAGAAATGAACATCCTTATTAATGGTTTGGGAATGATTACCCTTTTTTTTTTTTTCCCCTTTTGCATGGACTACAAAGTTTTAGCAAGTGAAAATGTGCCCCTTGGCGCGATGTATGAGGATAGCCAGACGCATGTTTGGAGTGTTGTAGCAGTTGGGCTGCTATGCATGAGTGAAAGGGTGTTGAAGACAATAAAAGATGCTGAGCAAATTAGCTGTGATGAGAAGGATTAGTAGATTGAATGTCAGTTTAATTTTTGGGGGTATTTTATGTAGGATTATGCAAACGAACTTAAATGCATCATGCATTGATTAATCGAGAGGACTATCATTCAAATGTAGGTGTAATAGCTATATATCAAACACAAAGTATACGCTGTGGCCACAACCAATCAAGAAATAACCTGTAAATTCACCCTCAAAAAAAAAAAAAAAAACCTGTAAATTCTACCCTTTTTTTATAAATATGATTTTATACAATTGTCTCCACATGAGAAGGTACACGCATATTTAGCCCAATCCTAGCCATGTCCTAGTTTCTTCACAAGTAACTCAATTTTAAGCCATTAATAGTGGCGTGGAGCCCTGCAACAGCATTTACCCCTTCTTTCTGACATTTCAAAGCACAAAAATTAGTGGTAACGAACATGAAGGTTGGTGGAATTAGAGGTGAAACCATATCCAACGTGGTTACATGCTTAATTCAATTGACAAATGCAAAGGCAGCAGAAATTAAATCATTACAGTGCAGGGATTATTGATCTAAATAATTCGAAAAGGTTGAGATGAAAATGCAGAAAGTAAAATCCGAATTAAGGTGATCCAAGTACCATAATGAACTGAAATAGCTAATAAATTGCGACCAGTCACATATATGATTAGGATCTCCATGATACCGAGTCTTCCATTGTTGCCTGTGCCCAAACCAAAAGAGAAAAGTGGACAATGCTCTGACATGAAGTAAGCTGTTCTGCGAGACACGATTAATTAATTATATTTACAAATAAGCACAAATTATATTTATATAATCGGTGGAGAAGTTGGGGGTGGAGGAAGGAGAGAAAGCGGAGGCAAAGTAAGGAGACTGCTTGTATTTTGGTTGGTGTCCACCGAAGGATTCAATGCCGCAAATCTGCCCAAAGACCATTCAGCAAACAAATGCCACCAGAGTTCAACAAAATTACAAAGTAACCAGTCCAAACTCCTAATAAAAAAAGTCACGAAAGTTCCTCTAAATTACCAGATAGCTGATCCAATCCCTAACGAAATGCCACTCAAATTGATCAATATCATAACAATCACCGGCCCACAAACAAATGAGAATCGCAACAGTAACCAAGCTTGGTACTTTTATATCCTACCAGTCTTCTTCGGAAGCCACTGAGCTTGTCTCAGTGGCCATAAAAGAGATGTTACAAGTGGGGGTTCAAATCTCATCTATAATCAAAAAAATTTAAGAGTGGTGTCAAAACACCCATTTGGTCTAGTCAATTGTTATTGTTGCTCGGAAAAAAAAAATGAGCGAGGGTGCCTAGATCCTATTTAATCAAAATCAAATCATAGAGAGTTCTATCAGCACTACCACGGCCATAAATTATGTTATAAAAGTACTTGATAACTATCGAGTATTTGAAACTAAAATTACTAATTAGTGATTATGGCACTGTTCATTGTTCATCTCCTCAATCACCTCTTCTAAGTTCAATCGACATTAGTAATCAGATCCTTGAAGTACTAAATAGCCTTATTGAGAAGAACAAAATGTCATCTAATTTTCACAATGTATGGCGGTAAAAACTAAATCAGCATGAAATTGACCCTACATGAGCTAGCCACTATTTATCTCCCTTGTGGTCAAACCTAGACTACTAAATCTTGATTGTCACTGGCAGTTTTAGAAACTACATCTGCTTCTACCTCATATTCTCCTTCACCTGTTATGCACATCAAAAGACTCCTAAGCTCAATAATTATACAAAAAGGAGGTAGGACAAACTTAGGTATTGCTTGTTAGAACATTAACCAGGAAGAAGACTAGTTAAAAGTGATCAGCTGGAATCAAAAGCAAGAAAGAAGTCATTCAAAGAAAAGGTTACAAAATAATCAATTTTGAGGATATCAATTAACTGAATGATAGCATATAACCAATTATTTGGCCTCTTGGTTCAGATACCTATCGAATTTCTAAGGTCAAATACACAATTACCAGAGCTCCAAGTCCAAGGTCTATATGAGTTTATGCAGTTTTAATTTCCAAGCTGATGTAAACTCAACCACAAAAAACAAAAAAACTTAGCAGACTCTGTTCACATAATTCTGTTTTGCTTGAGCAAGAAAATTAGTAACAATAGAACAAAAATGCAAACCTGCAGTTGTACCTTGTTTGCTTTTCACCCTAATGTGTCCTTTGATCCCTATCATATTTCCCTATCAAAGTTACCTCACCCAAATTTATACTTATGCTTAGAACTCCTAAAAAAGAATAAATTCTCTATTCCTAGGTGCAAATGGAATAAGTAATCTGATTAATGATCCTGTCATCCCCAATTAGAATAAGATTAAAACATGAGGCCAGAGGTGGAAAAAAACGTTAAGTCATACAGTACAACCTCTCAAAGCCAACTATACATCAATTACTCGCATGGTCTAGAAGGAAAAGAAAAAGTAGCCAGCATGGTGACGAACAAAATTTATAGCTTCTCTGTGGAAATAGTCAAGGCTCTATCTCATTCGATATGATAAACTTCCTAGAAACTTTCTACTTTCTACAACATTATTGGATTTTGGAACGGGCAAACACACACTCAAAAGCTATACAACATTGGTCAATGACACTAAAGAAAGTCATGAACTCGGCCATTGTGAATGCACATAGATAGTGACTTGTCCTACCATGGTCAATGAGTTTTAATCGAGTCAATCTAGAGAGTTATGTTTCAACAATGAAACAGGATTGGGGTAACAAACATGTGGTCTTACAAAATGTAAAGAATTAGTAGTAAATTTTTTCAGAGGGCAATATCAACAGAGGAGGTAATTGCCGACTCTCAAACCAAAAGAGAAAAGTGGACAATGCTCTGAAATGAAGTAAGCTGTTCTGCTGGACACGATTAATTAATTATATTTACCAATAAGCAGCATAATCACTATATAATTGGAAAACCAAAATTTTTTTGGCCAATTATTAGTCAGTCACTTTGATGAATGATGATGATGGAGATGCGAGGATAATAATCTACAAGCTATCTGTTTACGTCAATTATTCTTGTACAATGAAATGGAAACCAAATAAAAACATGAAGGATTTATCCTTCATAAAATTAGTGAGGGAGGATTTTTTTTTTCTGTTTTTGGTTGGGGGGGGGGAGGGATAATGGGCTGCATTTGTGTTATATACGTAGAAAGCCACGTTAAAGACAACACATGTATTT